CCGATCAAATTATCAAAAGTCAAACTTAGTCAACTCTTTCAACTTCAAGCTTCTCAAGTGGGATTCCTCCTTCAAAATCAATTCCGGATCACTCAAAAACCAAAGCCGACAATGCACGCAAGTCATAATACAATATGTGAAGCTACTCATGACCTTAAACTTCCAAACCGGACGCAATTTCTCAAAACGACCGGTCGGTTAGTCACATCCTCCCCTAGTTAAACATATGTTTGCCCTCGAACGTGCTAGGAGTCGCTCCAAAGCTATCAAATCACTGCCTGAGCTCACCATACGTACACCCGGGGTTGATTCCACGTCACCCCAATCCATCTAGGCCTGACAACGCAACTCAACTGAAGATCTCACTTCATCCTTAGTCTATAAACCTTAGGACAGAACCCAATCCTCAACATCTGAAACTTATCATAAGATCTGAATCTCGCATCAATACACTGTATAAGCCTAAACAAGCTGAATCAAGCCACAACCCTAACCCAAGGTAAAATCAAATGATATTCCACACAACTCATATGCCCGCAGCAATAACTTCGGACTACCATAGCTGTCCAATAAAAACTTGGTATCGGTAATACACTTCATATCGAATAAAACCTTATTCCGGACCTCCGCAACGCTAACTATGATAAAAGAAATATGTAGAAACTCATAACCACCCATGAAATCAACAAGTTGAGAAGCTCTCTCATCCGTCAAGGGCCATTGGCCAATTGTGAGTGGAAATAGCATCATCCTTCCAAACACTCCTCATCCCGATACGATAATGAAAATCTCAGTTCTAGAAACCTCATCTCAGCCAATACAACAAGCCCCACTGAAAACTTACCCTGAAACCACACGGATTCTCACACAACACGGTCTGTACACCAAAGAAGCAATAACTCAGATATGCAGCAAAACAATAGAAGGAAAGCAAGGTATGAGGACTATCTAACAAGTACAACAGATATAACAACAAAAGTATAATTTCATTAACCTACCCCACAAAGGGAAAATAAGACACGATATAAACCCAAGGAAGGGTACCCCACATAACATTCGTTGTGGCATGCAACTGATCCCAAATATATCAATCCACATAAGGATACCCTTCGAGCCAAAGTGCTCGGGTTCACTGATCACATGTATGCCAACATCAAACACGATATAGGGCACAAATATTCTGTGGGAATATGAATAAAAATAATACAACATGGAGGGAAGCAAGCACAACTAAGGTGCAATGAGCAAATCAACATCACGAGGGCCATCTTGCCCATATCGCTATAAGGCATGAACGAGATTACAACATGTGTGCGAATAATCATATAATTTCACAACCCATCATAGCATAAGAGGGAAGCACATAACACAGACTAGGCACGAATAACATCCATTTTGCTTGGTGCTAATCCCAGGATATCAATTTCGCAAGAGTAACCAAATCTGATTTGATATAGAATACACATTCTCATTGGGCGTTCAAATAGCCCCCAAACCAAATCCCGATAATTCCCAAACAAGTGAGTAATCATCCAAAAGTCCATAATAACCTATCCATAATATATGCCATCAGTTATTATATCCCTAACATTTCTTCACCATCCGAAATCAAGGGATAGTCTGCCTACGAGAACATCCAGTCCCGAAACCTTATGAATACCACAATTTCCATACCCGATCTGAACTACGCTACTCAAATGACTAATACATCACTCACACTCCATTATCTTACGGAAACACCCACATAGATCTTCCATACCGCGTAGCAAAAACTGAACCTCAGAAGCCTCAAAACCTGACAATCACCGTACCACTAGTCAAGCATATGCAAGTCAAAACACAAGGTGCCTTCCTAAAATGCACACTTTTCACATGTGATATCCAATAATGCTAGCCTTCTCTTAATTTCTGATATCCATCTAGGAGAAAACCATAATGCACAACATATTCCTTATGTCCGTAGCAGACAGTTGGCTCAAGCCGTAGTCGACACCATCGAGAACTCTCCGAGACCCGCCCGCACATAACTAAGTCATGAGGACTGAATTTCCCCAACTCAACTGAGTCACGCAAACCGTCCAACCTAAGAGAACTGCCACAAACGTCGGTGGAGAATTACCACCCCAAAAGGACCAATTACCTATGTTGCTATACTGACCCAACACCACCGAGCTGACCCATTTCTTCAGATCCTCCTCGACTTTTATTCAGGGTAACACTTCTCCATGTCGGTACACAACGATCCCAAAATCAAAGCTAATGCAGAAGATCCTAGCACGAACTACGTAGCCCAGAAGCTCATAAACCACTGTATTTCCTCTGAAGCACCATATAATGCTGCAACTGAGATACCCATACTGAAGAGACCTTCTGTGAATCTGAAGCTACTTCTCTAACCTATTTGATACTGAAATGTAGAATTATTAATAATGCAGAAATACCGTAAGTCCCAGCATTATCCTATGCAAATTTCATATCTTAATCATATACAAATTTCGGGGAACCTTTCAATATCACATATATACATCTCAGGCCAACACTGATATAACACATGACCCTGCAATCTGGTCATCGATAGTGGACTCTCATACTCGGCGCGAAGCCATAGGACATAACATCTGATGATCTACAATACTAACGTTCATAGCTCGTATAACACCAATCGTAAGATACCTCAAATCATCGGCTAAGCATATGTCCATCCTCGTGACAGTCAAACTCGTTTCCTCCAGTGCCTTGAATGATAGTATGCATCTTTCACTTAGTAGAAATCCCATACGAACCACATAGTCTCTAATACCACCAGTTATCCTCAAATTAACATCCACCTCCTGACCCAACCATGATCGTGACGACTAGGCAACCAATTAAATCTTCCCAAGCTCGCACTTATCACCCAGATAACAAAAACCGCTTGCACCCCTACGTGAACAATTGAATGGTCTCTCAATACATCTGCATCTTCAATCTGGATAACACGTTGAGACAATGTTTGAGCATCTATGGCTCTCTTGTAGCTTATCCATAGCATCATGAGCTGTCAGCGCATAGCTGGTACCGAGCGCACAATATCATATACGAGTGGATGAAAAAGGGATATTCGATATACGTTTCAAGCCGAATCAATGCCGCACGATAAGGAATCAAAGAAGTGAAGTTTCCTAATAATTCTGTAGCCTCTCGAAGATAAGTACAGACGTCTCTGCACCGATCTGCAAGGCTCTACTAAACTCGCTTATGACTTGTAGCACCTATGAACCTAGAGCTATGATACCAACTTGTTACGACCCCAACTTTTCACCTTAGGATGTCGTGATGGAACTTACTCTTTAATACTAGGTAAGCCTAACACATGCTGATTATTAATGAAATTTAACCGACTTAACTAGAACACATTAAATAATATATGTAACAACATAGCTAAACCAATATCAGTTACATAACCCCAAAACTAGTAGTACAAGTCATAAGTCTTTCTAAGTGTAACTAGAAATAATAAGTACATCACTGTCCCGGAATAATAATAGACAATGGAAATAAAATATAACAGAAGGTGACTTCGAGACCTGCGAATGTCGAGCATGTGTACCTTGAAATCTCCAGCTGCACAGACAGAAGTCTCAAAACCAACTCGATCAGAAGTACCTGAATCTACACAAAACTGTGCAGAAGTCTAGCATGAGTACACCACAGCAGTACCTAGTAAGTATCAAGCCTAGCCTCGGTAGAGTAGTGACGAGGCTAGGTCAATACACCTACCAGACATGTAAACATGTGCAGGATATAACATAAAGCTAACAATGGAAAGAACATCAATGTAAGACCAACATCAGAAAGATCACATCATGAATGGACCATAATCATCTACATGTGCTTTACAAAATTTCGGTCAAAGACAAACATTACTTTCATAGAGTGAAGGATTATTTTGAGAATCCTTATTGTTGTCATTACCACAATGATGACGATTATAATTTCGTCTATGCCATGTCCACATCCATTGATACCTTTACGGTAATAATTTTATCTTCTTTCAGACTTATCACATATTATTACCACATTCTCTTAAGGGAACGAGAATGAAGCAAATTCAATGGGACGAGTTTCCTTTTCTTGTGCTCACAATCACGCATGATTTGATCATGGCAAGACATAAAAATTCTACCACTTCGGTGATTAAATTTCTTACAAACTCTATTAGAGTTATAATCAAAATTTATTGTCTTTGCTTGTATTTAAAATCAAATTATAGAATTTCAAGAATTTAAAAGAAAAAAATAAGGTAAAATACTTATCTTAAATCCAGAATTTATTCCTGAAGGAAGTTCATGGAACAATTAATAATCATTATGTGCCATATTATGTACGAGTTGAGCATCATGCACATATCTCAAAGCCCGGTAACCAAAGTAGATGCCTATGCATTCACGTAAGAGCCTCACACAAATTGCTATATCTTCTCTCCACGGGTGGTATAATTTCTCAAACATTAGATAACTAATTAATAGCATATCTACAAATTAAAATAATCGCCCTCTACTCAATTGGTTAGAGTCTCATAAAATAATAAAAGAAGAAAGTATTGCAGAGAAAAGTAGAGAGAATTCTTATTGATTTGGGATAAAATATAATAGAGTAGAACCCCTCTATTTATAGAAAAAAAATGACTTAGTCACAAAGTAAAAAACTCTAAAATATTTTTAAAAGATAGACATTCACCATAAATAAAATATTATTTATAATACGAATCGTTTTCAATGTAAATTGTAAATGAGCATAGCATGCCATTCCTACCAAATTACAGTAAACCTCGGATAACAAAGAACGGCCCATGGGCCTTTTCGTCGACTCTCTTGCCTTTGGGCCCTGGGAAAATTTGGCGCCAAGTCTGACATGGCACAGCAGACACATCAGCTTCCACCTCAGCACTCCCGCCAAAAGAGCCTTATAACAGATACACATACGATCGTCGTTTCGGCCATTGTTGTTATTGCTCATCCATGGAGTCTAGTCAATCTTCTTTTTCACCCAAGAAACCACCCTTCCCTACCTCGAAAAAATCTGACCCGAATGCCACCGGGGCTCCATTTCAGGATCCATGGAGAACCAAGACCCCCGAGAAGCCCCTCGATCATCCTCGCCGGACTCGGAACCGCAATGCCGCCTTCTCCTTAAAACAAGTCCGGCAAGCCGCGCAGAAGCTCTGCAAGTCGGATCAAAACCACCCTACTCCCCAACCCGACAGGTTATTGAGCTCCGGTAAATCCCATGGGGTCTCTTCTTTCTCGGGCTCTTCGAAAGCCAAACCCAAGAAGCCTACTGACCCAGTAAAGCTACCAGAAAAGTAAGTGTTTCAAATGATAAAATTTTATATAGAATAAATAGTTTCTGAAAAACTACTAGTTCAAATTTATGTGGCGTGCACAAGGACACCTTTCTTTATTTAAAAATAATTTATAGATAGTTCCAAAATTGAGTGGTTAACTGATAGGTATACTAAATGATGACAACTCTGAATGCAACTTTTTTATTGACAATTTCTCTGTCAATTGTTGCTAACTCTCTAGCATTTCATTAACTTTTGCAGGAGGTTTTCTTACGCTCATTTAGCGCAGCTGAAGTTTATTTTACCTGAGGTTATTGAGATAAAAAAGATCCTTGTGTTTGATGAACGTACAAACTGTATGAAGCCTGAACTTCATATTGCATTAAATGCTAATGCAGTTGAAATTGACGAGAAGCGGAAATCTAGTAGCTCTGTTCAGCTGAGGAAAGTCTTCCGTACACGGCTTTTGAACTTTTTAAAATCCCATCCTCAGGTAAGAAATTTTGTATTTATATGATTTCTTTCGAATTATAGACTTTGCATTTAACATTTGTTGAGACTTTAAATTTTAGGTCAATGTTAGAAATGAGGGTTGGTGTTTTAAGGTTTATCGACTTAAATTCTTGTCTTATTGAAATCACCAGCCTGTATTAAGAGTTAAGTCATTTTGGCATATGTGCTTTACAAGTCCAATTGAAGCTTTCATATCTTTGGTTCGATCTGACTATACTTATCTGGTGTCATGTTTTTTCAGTTTTATGCACATACATGTGCCAAAATTGTTTAAATGAATTTCATTTGCAGATTTTTGTACGTTGATGGATTGTGTTTGACTACTGGCATCTGAAGAAAACATTTCATGCCTTTGTACAAACTTTAGTTAAATGAATACTATATGACAAAGCTTTTAGGGGCTTAAACATATATTTTTAACTTCGTTTCTGAAATAGATTCAGACATGAAGCAGTTGATAACGTTATCCACATAAAAAAAAAGTCTACTAATTTCAGGAAGTATTAGATTTACCTTACTGTTTGCACACAGTTTTGATAAAATCACAGCTGCTTGGCTGATTGAAATAACCAGCATGAAGAGTTACTATAGTGGCCGGCATGTTGGCAATTAAGACTTAAGCACATTTATTTGAACGGTTCTTCTCAATCTCCTCTGCTTCCCAAAGTCCTTTAGTAAAAATGGAAGGAGAGGTATTAGTTATATAAATTGCTTTTTCTATAAAGCTGGTGATTTTAAGGAATACTATTTCTGGATGCAGGGAGAAGACATTCCCGAGGAAGCACTACCTGGACCATTCGGTGATTCAAGGCAAGAAGTACTGACAAATTCGTCTGGATCTGCTGGCGCACAGTTGATGAGTGAGACGACACCAATTGGTTCAGTGCCAGAGCAGCGAGCATCTGCATCTCACCTGTCTCAATCTTTCAGAAGAAGATTTTCACACCGAGTATCAATTGGTGAAGCGGAGGATGCCGAGCAACATCCACCAGTCACGGAATGCCAAATAGCTAAAAGTTCCAATAACAAAAGAACCTCAACAGCTTCTGATAAATGTCCTTCTAAAAAGCCTACAATGCAAACTAGCACAGTTAAAAACTCATCGCCAGTGGTTGCTTTTGATACTTTACTGCTGACTCCTCTGCCTGCCACTCCAATGAAGAATATAAAGGGCGATGATGAATATGCTTTATTAACTGCTGAAGGAACTCAAGCAAGACTTACATCTACACCAGAAAAACTGACGACTTCTACCCCTATGCCTCAATCTCCCAAGAGATGTTGTATGAGTCCTAATAGTGGTTCAACTGAATCACCAAGCAAGCTAGTTAGGCGACCTCCTCGTAATAGGTCTTTGAACTTCAATACTCCTGTGAAGAGTTCAAATGTTACTGATAAAGCGTGTGAGGGTGCAGGATTGCCAATAAATAATGATATCATCGACATTCTTTCGGAGGATCTTCTGCAGTCGGTAAGACACAAAGAACTTTCTAAGATTAATATCCTTAATGGTATTACTTTTTCTAGATTAATTTCACTTAAGTTTGTAACTTAGATGAAGTTTATTCCCTAGTTATTTAAACCGAGAGGAATTGGGTAATCCATATTTCTAAGTCTACTATTGAGTGCCAGTGACAAATGCTTCATGGATCTGCAGTTACAACAAAAAGAGAGGAAGGGGCTAGAGGAGCAAGATCCAGCCTTATCCCAAGCGAAAAGACGCAAGCAGATGATTTCAAGCTTGCCTAAATTCTTTGACATGATATATTTCCTATTTCAATCAGGAAGACGCATGGTGATTACAAAAGAGGAACTTATTCATAATGTAATTTCAAGCCATCTAGAGATTGCTGATAGAAGTAAGCGTGGATACAATCATTTCAAACTGAATCGCCTTGGAAACTGCACCTGACTTGAATCTTTATGTTTTATGTTTGCAGGAGAAGTTGAAGAGCAACTCAGGTTATTGCAAGAACTTGCTCCTGAATGGATTTACAAAAAGGTGGCAGCTAGTGGGGATCTTCTCTTATGGTAAAGCTTGTTTCTCCTGAAGCGTGCCTGCCTGATAATTTTTCTACATATTTGGTTAAAATGATAAGCAATGAGCCTTCAAGGATTAAATGCCAGTTGATACTGTTTTTGCAGTCACAACTAAGAGAGGCTTGATGTCATTAGTTTTGTTTTCTTTTGCAGTGTTAACCAGATATCAAGTCCTAAAGAACTACACACAAGACTAGCTGAAGCGAAATTAGAGAAACAAGAAGATAGTTGTATATAAATTTTTTGTTAAATTAGATTAACATTTCAATATATTCTTCTCTAGTGCATCATTCATGGATGCAGATTACAGCAGTACCGTTTAGTACAGTGCAATTATAATTTAACCAGGACCTAGGTCAGCTTGCAAGTTAGGGCTAATAAGGGCTACTCTTTGAAGATTTAGATCTGTTCTCCTTGTATATAGCAATGAACTTCACTTGGAATAAGATTTTGTTAGTCCTTGTATATAGCCCCGGGCAATGAGATACTGGATGTTAATCATGAGCCTAGAGCTATGGATCAAAATGTTGCTATTTTCCTTGACAGTAGCTGGCAAAGAGCATGTGCAGAGGATATAGATATAATAATATCCTTTAATAAATTTTTAAATGTGCTCATCTTCATTTATAAAATGTCATGCAAGTTAAAGAACAGGATCTTTCCAGGTACAACTTTGTTATTTATTTCTCGAGTTAGCCGTTCCATTATGCCTTTCTTGAGTTTTTCACCCACATTATCCATCTTAAATTAATCCACTTGGTGCCAAAGTAGATTGAATATGACCATATACATAGGTAGAAGTTGCGATTAATTATTGTAAAAGCTAGGCTCTATTTGAAGGGCGATGATGACCAAATCAGATGAGCTGGATCTTGGAAAATCCATTTCGTAGAGGACAAGAAAAGATTTTTGGACAGAGGTTAGAGTGACTTAAAACAAGAATCATTTGGATATATTATGTATTAAGAGTGGTGATGTAGCCATAGAAAGAGCTAAGAAAGTGAAAAGGGAATTAAATGAGGCAGAGGGATTTACTAGAGTTCAGGACACCCCAACATCCATCTTTGGGTAGAAATAACTGGGGTGGTGCTTCTCCTCTATTGGCAAGAAATGTACCCAAAGAATCTCTGGAGCAAAGGTACGTTAGGCTCAATACCATTAGGACTAGGGATGAAATTTTCTTGGAGCTGGAACATGACAATTTTTTAAACTTGTTGAATGCTGAGGCCTCGAAATACGAGTGCCCCACCACCCCAGTCCGTCGAGGTAAGTTCTGGAAGCTAATATGGCGACCACGAAAGAAGCTGAATATAGTGCGACCGGCTTCTCCCAGCTCGAGCTCATCTCTAGGTTCTAGTTCAAAGAAAAAGAAATTCTTTAAAAGATTAGACCCCAAGAATAAATGGCCTAATGGCTGGTGTTGATATAGTGTATTTGTTGTTTCCATATTGAATAATATCCTAGTTTCAGCTATGCTGGTTTTTGTCATTGTTATGGGTTTCGTTTGTATGTTCTTGTAACAATTCACCTTGTTTATGGAAGAAGAAGAAGAAGAAATGCATGATAAAAGTTTTTGATAACCACACAAGGAGGCCTTGCAAAAAAAACAATATCGTAGTCCTTCGAACGTGAATTCACGTAGAACACTGCGTATAAGGATCTTTCTTAATTAGTATTAAAGCTTTCAAGTAGCCCATTCTTCATCTATATATGCAAAGAAGAAGTAAGTTGCTTATTAGATTGGTCCTGCCTTGGCTTATTAGGAGAGACATTTCTCTTTGTCGCGGCTATGACTTGAGCTTCTTTTTTTGACAAATGGGACTTGGGCTTGCTTACTGGCTTAGCTGAGGATGAAATTCCCTACTAGACACCTTAGGTCTAGGCCTCTCAAAGTTTATGTTTATTGTTTTTAAATTTTAATACGATTCAACTTTCAACTTACATTTTAATTCCTTAATCTGTTGGTTGTTCGCAAGTGGATGGGAAGTACTCAGTTAAGCAGAGAAGCTTATTAGCTTGTTGCTTTTGGAATCTCATTAGCTGAAGGTTTAGGACGGAAACTGAGCATAATGACACTCTTAAATCTTAATCATTACCCCCCTCATGCCCACACTTATAAATCTTCTTTGGGATTTACCCAACCACAGTCCACATGCTTCAACTTATAAGTGCACATTTATATAAAAATACAATGTATTTGAGTGTATTTGTACGGAATATAATGTATTTGTATCATTGTATGCGACTCAATTTGCAAAGAAGAGAAGAAAGTTCGCCGGAGATGATGTTTTCCGGCCAAGCAAATACTGTATACTTCGTATTCAAACCAAATATGGAGACGAACAAAAACCCGGCCCTCAAATCTTCTCTGGCGACTCTACTTCAGATTTCCAAAAGCTTAATCCGTAGCCATGGCCAGAACTATTCGCCTACTCCCTCTTCGCTTCAGATCTATTCTCTTCGCTTCAGCAAGTCCATCGCTATCAAAAATGGATGCTACGACGGATGCCCTGATGGAAAAGGGAGAGAGATTTGAGGGAGAAGAGAGAGGATTGAGAATTTTACTGATACAGATAGAGAAGGAAGAGAGAGAAAGAACATAAGCCGCAAATATGCCTCAATGGAAGAAGAAGAAAAACAAAATTATTATAGTACTTATTACATATTTAGAAAAACTAAGTAGATCACGCAATTCATATTATAGTACTCCACTTACTACGTAATTAGAAAAACTAACACGTAATTCAAGATGTTAATACTGGAAGGCCACCGTTAATTGTGCACAAACATAACGCCTCGTATTCGTATAGCTTGATAAATTTAGTGTTAAGCAAATTTTTATCCCTTCCAGTGAGGGTGAAAATTGCAAGAGTTCTGTAAACCACATTACGCAAGCCCTTGCGACGGGCTCAATCGAAAAAGCATGCAAGTGGGTTTCGAACCCTAGATCTCCAATTGGGAAGTTTCCTGACGTTTTTGTTTACAAAGAAGAATTAGAAAGAAAAAAAAAAGATTGTCTAAAGGAAAACAAAGAGATCCTATTTTTTTATGTCCCTGTAAGAAGGCACAATTTTAGTGGTAAAGTGCATTGAGCAAGGATCAAATTCGTTCAATGAATCAATTGTCAGTAACGTTCTCAGTTTGACCCCAATCCAGTTTCAACAAGTAAAACTATGCGTGAGCATCTTAGCTGAGATGGCCTTATTTATGTCTAGCAGCCTCGCACAGAGATGACTTTGTGTCACTTCCTATTCTGCTCGTTGGAAGGTTCACATCAAATAATGCATACTTTTTCTTTTGGTATAATCATTCGGTATCCGAAACTCATCGTCCCAACTAATTATAATTTGTACCACATATGACCTATTAAAGAAGGAAGTACTCCCTAACAAGAGTTTCTCTATTCGTAGGGCTTAACTCGAAATTTCTAATTAAGGGTGAAAGAACCACGTACATCTATCCCACCACATTAAAATACTAAGTAGATCACTTTAAAAGAAATTCATTCCTCGACTATCAACCATGCCAATTGCCAACCCAGTCACATAATTGTCAGCCCTTTTCACCCAGAATGGAATGGTAATGCATGATTTTTATTGACTGATTTAACCCAATTGAAGTTATTTAGGCATTCCTTATGATAGTTATATCAAACCTGCAACCAGCAAAGGTAAAGTCCAATAAACTCCCTTTTAACGAGGCTTTGTGTACAAAGAGATACACGAGAAGGAGAATTAGACCAAAGTGTTATCTGAACTTCACAATATCGTATGAATTACTTCTTGTGATTATGATCTCTATTTTGTATAAATAAACCTTCCGTTTAGGGATTTAGTCTAACCTTTCTTTTTTGACACAATTAACAAAGTTGGAGAAGCCTTAACAGGGCTTGGCAACTGGAATTTGAGTTCGCGAGAGTCAAGTTGGACTCTTAGAGATTTCATGCTCTTCTTATAGGATTTGAGCTCGTGACACTACGATTTATACTATCCCCTTTAACCCAATATAATCCCACTAGTGGGGTAGGTTGTTTCTAATAAATCTTCAACTCTCTCCCTCCAAGAACTACCCACCTTCCTCTTAGGTGACTCGAACTCACTAACTCTTGATTGGAAGTGGATAGTGCTCACCACTAGAGCAACCCACTCTTGTCAATTAAAAGATGAAAAATAGGAACTAATTAATATTTGCTATTTGCATGTATGGTAGATGTGCCTTGCTACTCAAATCACATTCTCCCCAAATTCTAAAATCAAGATAATTGTGGAAAAACGCCTCTATCTAATTAAATTACTAAGGTGGTGTTTGATTTAAACGACTTTCTTGTCGTGGAAATTCGTGTGTTATCCTCATCCACAAATAGAACACTAAATTGAAATGAATTCATATGTTATTCCTCATCCACAAAGAGAACACTAAATTAAATGACCTAAATTTTGTGGATAGGTAACATCCCGTATCTTCCTAAACTTCCTAGGTTAGTAGGTACGGGCTACAAGAAAATGTTTGGAATTTTTATTCACTGATTACTTTTTCTAACTGTTATATATATATATATCAACTTGTTATTTTAATTTAAACGATTAGATTAATTCTTCAAAAAAGGGGAGGGAGGGGAAGGGGTTTTCTACCGATGCCAATTTCAATAAGTTTATATTTTATTTTTTCTAACTATTTACCTGTAAACTAAAAGAACATATTTAAAGTTTTGATTTTTATCGAATTTTATGTAAACCTCGGTCTTACCAATGTATTTGAAAATCATCATTAACCAAATACATGTGATATTCAAATTGAGTTTCCTTGTCAGAAAATTTTATTGTGCAAATAGAAGAAAGCATTTTTTTGTTATATGTAGACTATTGAATCTCTTTGTCATATAAGGAAAATTTTCATAAAAAATTATTTTAGTTTACGTGTGATTAGAATCATTAGAATTAATTGAATAGGTTAGGGCTAGGAAATTGATCATTTCTGTAGAATTGGAGAAAATACTACTATCATCAAAAATCTTAAAGAAAAAAGAAAGAAGAAGAATAAAGAAACACGTACTAACTAGTTGTAAATGAAAACGTAATTCAAAGTGCATGTCATAATCAAAGTTGGAGAATTATATGGTGGAGGACATTGGTCCACATGTTGGTACTGTTCCTTTTCTTAGGTTGTCATTAGAAAGCTGATGATTGATTACGAGTTTGATTTAGTTTTACTTTACAAGCAAAGTGACAATTCAATTATTTCAATTTTATATAATATTATTATAATTTTTAAGAATTTAAAATAATTTTTTCCTTACCAATAATCTTTAAACCTTTAATTATGAAAAATGTTAATTAATAGGACTTCCATATGTAGTTTCCGAATTGTAAACATTATCTTGCAAAATATAGAGATTAAATTGCATTTACATTTAAGTTGAATCTTTGAACCTTGTATTTGAATTTTGTCGTTGAACCTTAGAGGTCGCGGGACTGATAAAACCAATTTCTGATTGTTCTTCTTCATCTTCTGTGCTTTATTACAACTTTTCATATGTACTGATAACTTCTGCAAA